TCCTCCTAATCCTAATAAAAAGATGGTGAGTGGAAGGGATGGAGGGAGAAAAAGAGAGAGTAAGAGGCAGAAATATATAGAAAAATATAGATAAATAGTGAAAGAGAAAGGAAGTGGAAGTGCAAATACAGAAAGTGAAAGAGGTAAAGAGTAGGAGAGAAAAGGATAAAGAGAGAGTTAAATAAACAATTTCTTTCTCTCTCACCCCCACTTGCTGTTTCTCACTCACTCTCTCCAATTCTTGTCCTCTCTTATGCTCTCTCTCTCACTCTCTCTCTCTCTCTCTCTCTCTCTCTCTCTCTCGCTCACTTTCTTTGTATGTCTTTCTCTATCTATCTATCTATCTATCTTTCTCTCCTTTATTATAGCGTTAGGTTAACCCCAAAACATTATATTTATTTTAGCTTTATACATACTATTTTATGTTGTATTATTGGTTATCTATTTGTTTATTTTATTTATTATTATTTTATTGGTTATTTATTCAATCCGTAATATGTTGAATGCATATAATATATTATGTATTACTTCATGCGTGGATGTGAACGGTTGTGACGTTGAAAATCATAAATAACAGATCAAACATCTCAATCTAAATATTAAATATATCGTAATGACAGTCGGTGAAAAAGGCTTAATGCTGTTACGCCTTTGACCAAGGACAGGCGTGAGAGTAGGCGGATCCAGAGATGATCAGCAATGATAGTAGCGCCGAAGGCAAAACTGACGATGAGTGAATTTAGTAGAAAGAGGCGGATGTTTTTGTGAATAGTTACGAAATATTTGTTTATTGTTGATTGGATTTGAAAGTCGAATAAAAACTTCAAACTGTAGTTGTTCGAAATGCCAGCGGTGGCCGAAAAAAATGTGAGGTATAAGCGAGAAAGTTAGATTTTCAACCGGCGTTTATAGACACCGTCTGTAAATAAAGACATTAGCGTCATCGACTTTGCCTTTACAAACCGGCACTAAATTCCAGGCGACAAATTGTCCTTTATCGAAAAAGCCTGGCAATAACAAGGTTTTTTGCTTCGGCTCACCCACATCACTTTTTGCCAGGGTTTCTTAATGCGCCAAAGGAAAAGATATCGAATAAATATTATAATTAGGCTCTCTTTTAGTTGCTTGTATCAATATGTCAAAAGTCTGCTTTATAATTCCTCCAAGGTCTCGCACCTCCAACGAAGTTTGAAAGAAGTCAGTCCCATTAAAAAGCACCGGTTTGTTATTTAGGCTTGACAAATGAAGTTTCACTGAGTTATTCTAAAGGTCTTAACTATTTAAAACGAGGTGTAATTATAAAAATGGCTTTCATATTTGTTACAAAGAAATAGACGGTTATCTCAATATAGGACCCAAACAACACCAATAAAAAAATATAAAAAAAGATAATTCTTTACGACATATCATACAAATATTGTAAACCCCTGTAACGTTTCATGTGTATCGGCTTAAGTGTTTCAAAGTTTTAATATTTTTGTGATTTTCCAATAAAATCTGAAACAAAGGAAGGCGAAAAATCCGAGAAAAAATATTTATTGATTTTCTCAAAACATTGTATCGTGGGTGTATAATTTAAAATAATTAGAGACTGGCACTCTCAACACGACACGCAAGAATGGCACAATTACGTAGAAGACAAACACGATGAGCCCTGAAGATGATCTCAATAAAGATCGAAACGTTGGCACGATAAAGAAAATGTTTTTCTGAAACCTACATCACACCAGACCGCATCTTACGGTTTCTGAATAAATAATTATACTTTTTAATCTAAGGTCTTGGTTGAGATGAAAAGCTAGTGTCAAGCTGGATTCGAACCCACGACCGGCTAACGAAGGTGCTGTACAGCATGTATCTATTAGGTGAAGAGCCACGTTGGAATTAAGGGTAACGAAGACGCAGATAAATTAGCCACAGCAGCTTCAGTGGGCTCTTCATTGTACGCTGTTTATGACAAGATTCCGAAGTCTGAATTTAAAAAAATAACAGCAAAAAAATGCTGGAGAAATGGGAACATCAGTCATAAGTTTTGCACCATCCCAATAGCAAAATTGCAAGCGAAGTAACAGATAATTTAAATTTATATCCTGGGATCTCAGATTTTAATGAACCTTTTTTTTGTTAATACTAGGCCGAAAAAAGTATTAGACAATAGTGTCAATAGGCCGGGCCTAAAAACCCAAGAAATTTTATTAAAAAAGTATTTAATATAATTTTTTTAAAATATGGATTTCAGGTATTTTTGTGGATCCATTTTAAGTTTATTACCTACATATCAGTCGAAATGTTATTTTTTTGAGGAAGAATAAGACGATAATATGGAAAATTGAAACAAACAAGATATGACATATAAAAAAATAGGTATATGTATAAACAAAAACGGAAAGACGCTTCCAGTAAAGTCGGGCACAAAACAAATCGGACTTATTTAAGCATCCTTTAATGCCCTCAAATACAGATTTTTGTAGCAAATAAGAAATTTATTTTCGGGCTGGATTCAAGGGAGGAATTGTTTTTTTTTCTATCGCCGATTCCTTACAAATCCATAACACATCAGGATTTAAATCAAATTCCACGTTTTATAAGATATGAAAAGCTGAATGTCTCTTCTGAGTCAGTCTATGTCAACAACCAATCTTTTTATATTATTATAAGTCAGAAAAATAAACTCGAAATCAACAAAAGTTTCCAAAACGTTTTCTTTTACATCTCTGATTCTGATTAATTGGAACGAATTCAATTTATGTTATTACGTGTAGTTTATACAATATACACTGCGAGTCAAAACAATTAATATTTTTAATTATATCTTAGACAACCCTTCATTGATTGAGTTACAACAATATTTAAATGATTAAAGATAAATAAAACAGATAAAATCTCCCACTTGTGTTTACAATTGGATTTTGTACATAGATCTTCGAAAAGTCAATCTCTTCTTTGTTGCTTTTTCTGTAAGCCTTCATCCTAACGTTCGGTGATGTTTTTTAAGTTGTACCAATTTTAACTCTCAAATTTGTGTGAGTGCTATGCTCAAATTCAGCTGGATTCATACCATTGTTGGAGCATTGTTAAAAGATGGAAGAAGTCAATCGTGGCCAGGGTTCTTAACATTCTCATCACAACTGCCCAAACGGTCTTCCATGGAGGTTACTCAAAAATGCATGTATCAGGTCGCCATCGTGTCAAATCTCAGCGAGATGATTGTTTTTTTTGTTTCGAATGTACTCCGTAATCGACATTCTACTGCCGTTGCGATCAAGAAACGACTTCAATAAGTTAGAAATGTTAATGTCAGTTTATGCACTGTAAGGCGAAGACTGTTAGAAGCTCGATTACGCGCGAGAAGATCTGCTTACAGGACAAGGTCCAGAACTTCTGACAAGGCACAGAACAGCTGGGTTAAGTTTCGCAAGAAATCACATCAATTGGTCTGAGCAGGTTTGGACTTCAATCTTGTTTTCGGATGAGTCAGGGTTTTGTTTGGTGTCTTTTGACGGCCGAGAGAGGGTTTGGAGGATAACAGGAGAGCGATATATCCCAGCAACATTTTCACTCCGGAGAAGCTATGGAGGTGTGGTTGTTATGGTTTGGGCAGTCATTTCTATGGAAGGTCGTACAAACGTCATCTCCATCGAGGGTTCCCTAACAGCTGATACATTAAGGTGTGTTATCAGATGAAGTTGTTCCTTTTATTTTATTTTTTTTAAATACATGACAATGCAAGGCCCCATACAGCTAGGATCGTTGGTGACTATTGGAATGGGCTTCCAATTCAATGTTTGGAGGGGCCAGCATGTCGTCCCGACTTACCTCTATCGAACACCTTTGGGATGAGTTATCAAAGGGGGTAAAAAGTTGCCCAACGATGCCAAAGAATTAAGAGTGGCGCTGTTGGGAAAGCGCCAAAAGAGATGGCACATTCAATTATCAAGTCCATCAAATCATTCGAAACCCGAGCAAAACTGATCGATCCAGTAAAATTAAAAGTTGGGATCAGCAAAATGTCAACCCGTAAAGAAGGGAGCCTAATCATTCAATCTGTAAATAGAGAAAATGTAAATAATCAGAACACAAAAATTATATCTGTTCAAATTAATCTACAATCAAAAAATGCGATAGCTAACCTAAATGAAACCATACAAGCAAATTTAATTGATGAAGCAATAATACAAGAACCTTTAATACAATTTTCTGTTTATAGCGCGAATTTATAGCGTATTAGCAGTAAAGAAAAGAGCTGCACTTGTCATTCCAACCCCCAAATTCAATGTTATTTTACACTCCCAATTTTCAGACGAAAAGGTAGTCATACAGTACAGAATTATTAACTTAGCATGCTTTGGCAGAATGCCCCAAAGAACAAGAGCTTGCGAGGTACCAAAAGAGAAGAATATTAGAGACTAAAACAAAACTACGAAGAAACAAATCGAAAAGCTAAGATTGAAGCATGGTAAATTATTGCAATGATGTTGGCAGCCAACATCCTTGGGTTCCAATCTATAAAGTCGCGACAGGAAAAAATGACAAACCCGCTTACTACTTCTTCTCTACTAAAAACTGATTGAAATTACACACAAAAAATTAAACGATACCCTTCAAGAAATTATGGATACTTTTGTTCCCCCTGACATAACACCATAAACTTACAACATCAATTACAAATCATCCATATCTTTCCTAAAGTAAGTGTGCACATAACAACAGTAATATTGTGCATTACAATTACGAAAAATCACTTAATTCCTTCTTATATTAACGTACAAAATTGATTGATATAGGAACGATATCAATTAATAAAAATAAAAAATGATAAATCGACTGTGGCTTAGTGGTTAAGGCCTCCGATTCGTATACACCACCCCAGCGGTTCTGGGTTCAAATCCCGACATAGTCCATGGAATTTTTATTGTGAATACTATGAAAAAAGTAGTATAAATTTCTCACGAATTTTTTACTTCATATAGGTTAATTTATTGAGATTCTTTTTGTTTCAGGAAACATGACGAGGATGGGGTCAGCTTCTCATATTGGAGAAGTGAGAAGATTTAGTAAAGGAATTAGGTGAGACTGTCTATTCATTACTACGATATACCATTCCATTCAATGTAAAAACGTACTTTGCAATGTATTTCACATGATAAATGTATAATTAATTTTGAATATTTACCTCCAGAAGAAAATATGTAATAAAAAATGTAGAGCAATGTTTTCTTTCTACCTTTTTCTTTCTTTCCCTATCCCCCTCTCACTGTAATTCTTTTCTCTCTATTTTTTTAATCTTCATCTATCTATCTGTATACATATAAACATTGTCTTTCTCTTTAACTTTCTCTCTCCTTCTCTCCCTTCTCCCTCTTTCTCTCTCTCTATCTCTGTCCTATTTATCTATATTTAGGTATCTACCTGTCTATCTAATAAACATTTTCTTTCTTTTTATTCTTTCGGTCAATCAATTCAATCAATTTCTCTCTCTATCACTATCACATTTTCTCGCACTCACTCTCTCTCGCTTTCTTACTTTTTCAAGCTCTCCCCCATCCTTTTTCTTACTTCATTACACTTGTTTTTCTTTCTCGATTTATGTTCAAAATAACTTTTATCCCAACTAAAATAATGGAATAAATAGTTAAAGTTAAAATAAAGTCTTGATATACATATGTAAATGCATTTTACTTATTTTGGTTTCGTATATGATGTGTATATATTATTTACAAATTGTTTGGACCGTTAAATTTTTATTTTAAGTGTAATATAACTACCCAATTTAAATATTACATTGTATTTTACTTGTTCTTTAACATGAGAAAGATCTTTTGTTGATTCAATAATCTTGTTTTGTTTTTTCCTTTTATGGCACAGTCAAATGTAACAGATATGTTTGTATTTATTCGCATGTTTTTTTGTATGCAGATCGTCAAAGAAGAGCATATTGTATTCGGATTATTACGACGAGGATTCCAAAAAGGATAACAATTTAGCAAATCAGCGTTCAATATCACTGGTGAGTTGACAAAAACAAAATATTCAGTCTGTTTGATAGTATAGTATCGGCTAGATTGGCTGATAATTTTACAGATGATTTCCAGTGAAAATATCATACGCTTAATGATTTAATTTTATTCAAAATATGTAGATTGCAACAGTCGTGGGATATAATAAGAGATTTACGATTTTATAATTACTGGATGTACAGTTTATTATCGCCTTTCCTGGCTTGTAAGTGATGTAAAGGTTTTGTAAAAATGAATTTTTGTGGCAAAAATCCCTGCAAACTTATAATAAAGATTATAATCAGAAAAAAATCTGCCCTTGAATTTAATTTTTGTCTCGGTTTTAAATTAATAGGAATTTGAAAACATGAAGCTTTTTTCGACAGCAGATTTTTCTTTGCTATAATTAATTTTTTTTCATTAGAAAAACATTTCCTTTCTGCCTTTATTAAACATATTCCGAAATGCTATAACACTTAAAATGTATTATAATAATTTAGAAACAATATAAAAAAATTAATAATTAACCCTAACCATCCCTAATAATAATTTCTCCTCGAACAGAGTTAAAAAAAAATTTGATTCCGGCCAGGATCGAACTGGCGACCTTCTGCGTGTAAAGCAGATGTGATAACCACTACACCACGGAACCCGTTGGAAGAGTACGTCCATTTCCTTTCCTTTCAGTAGCTGTTTGTTCTACATCCATTAACACAGGATACACAATGTTTTATACAAAAATTAATTATTTAATTAACACGTTAAGCGGTTCATATTGTATTAGGAAGCAACGACAGTACAATGATCGACAATTACAATAATGATTACAATCATTTACGGATTATCTACTAGATTTCATTTTAATTTTTTTTTGTTTAATAATAATAGTAAATAGTAGTTAAATAACAAAAATATGTATAACGTTTATTATATTGAGGTTTTTAGAAATACAAGTTTTGATTTTTATTAATAGTTGGACACCGATGGCTTATTTTCACGAATTTTTTGGCTCCTTTTGAGCCATAATTTTTTGTTAATTATATTTTTTCTTACAACTTTGGCATATTATATATAAATAACACAAACTAAGTCTTTTTATGAGGATTTTACCTCAAAATTTAATTATTTTGCCACTGGGGGAAGATAGTAATTTTAATTTTAATTATTGTAAATTCATTTAGTAAATGTATTATTATTTCAGAAAACTTTCATAAATTAATTACCATAATTTCTTCTCAAATAAATTCTTAATTAAAAAGAAGTCACCAAAGGATATCCGGCTTGTAAACAGAAATCTGGGCCCTGGAAAGAAAGTACGTTTTTCTTCCCTTAATAATAGCAGACGATTTTTTCGAAAGTAGTCAACTAGGTGCGTAATTTTAAATAGGGCCCGGTTAGAAAACGAAAAAGCACGGGATGTTCTTGAAAAAAATCTTTCTGGTAGTCTGTAAGAAAACAACGATTTCTTAAATATTAAAATAAGTTTTGAAAAAGGGCCAAAATTGAAGTGTCCAAATATGATATCTCTGGAAAATGTGTACAACGATGTGGCAATCTAGTCACCTAATTTCGCCTTTATGAACTTTTTTTAGGTCTTATATCAATAATTTTATGTACAAATTTGAACCCAAAGAATCATTTTTGATATAAAGCCCCTCTAACGTCATCATCTAACACCATAACATAAAAAAAGGAACACTACCATTAATTTACTCATAGGATCAATTAATATTTCAAGAAAGCATGATTAATTTTGGAATAGTTAAATAAGGACGAAGAGCACCTTTCAAGAAATAAAGATTAAAAAAATAAATAAAAACGACCTTAGATCGACATGATAGTTACACGAGTTGGAAAATTTGCATAAATGTGCTTTATCAAAGACTTTCTCCAGAAAAAAATAAAACAGGAGTTTCTCAGTTTTAATGGCCAATAATATATATTTTATTGTTTAACGAATAATAGTTAAAGACTACTTAAAATTGAAATAAAAATTTGTAATTTAATCGTTACCAATCAATTTGGTCTTCTTACACGCGCTGGGTTTCGGCATTTAGCCATCTTCAGTGTGTCTGCGTGATTTATTTTAAAAGTCAATTCTCTTAAAGACGTGAGGAATTGGGAGCTAAAAAAATGGGATGAAAATTGTGACACATTTTCCCAATTATATTATTCACCAAAGTACGTACATTTATAAACTATAATCGAATTATTTTAAATTTTAATCGGGCAACAGATAAGTTGTACGATAGATATATGATATCCACGCATCGTGTTAAAGACACTAGCAACGTCTGGGGTCGGTTAACTTTTGTGCAAGTGTGCTATTTTGTTAAATTTTGTATGATTAGGCTTAAGGTTCCACGAGCTAGTTTATATGGAAGTATTCATCAAAGAAAAGGCCGGACATAAGGTGAATGAGATATGAAGGGTCAATACAGTGGTCGAAACAGAATAAAATCGAATTTCTACCAAAATTTCATTCTAGTCCCTTTCAAAAACATAATCTAGCAACGCTGTTTAATCGTTTAAATTAATGATATCTTTTGTGAGAAATTTACAAAAAAAATCTGCCTCTTAACATAGAATGAATGACATGTTAGTTCATTTAAGTCATGAAATGTTAATTTTATGGTTTATAGGCTGGATAGGCACAGCTTGTACGTGCCTGGGATGGGTTCAGTTTGGCTAGGTAAGGTTAGGGTTAGAATAAAGAGTACGGCTATATAAGGTTCGTTAGGTTAATAATGGTTAGATTAGTTAGGGTTACGATTAGCGTTGGGTTAGGTTAGATTAGGTTTTAGAACAGGTTGGGTTAGGCTAGGTTATAAACAATTAGGTCAGGTAAGGTTAGGTAAAGACGGGCTAGGTTAGATAAGGTTATCGTAAGGGTTACGACAGGCTAGAGATGGGTTAGGTTAGGGACGGAGTATGTTGAAGTAGGCTTACGTTACGCTAGGGACGGGTTAGGTGGGTTTATGGCTTGGGTTAGGGTTACATAGGCAATGGTCGAATTAGGTTAAATTATTGTTAGGGATGGGTTACAGTGCATATCCATGTTTAACTGTTTTTCCGAGAAGCGTAGAAAATTAGAGAGTGCAAAGCCCGAGTTGGTTACTTATGGTTTTTACATGTCAAAAAATATTAGTCGGTATAAATCTCGAACAAGAACGCACATAACATTCAAAAACCACGTTTAAGACTTTAGCTGATTTACTCAGATTAAAATCTCGACAGGTCACTACATAAATCCTTCCTGTCTTACTTTTTCGATTTAGGACCGCTGAGATTCGAACCCGTGTCCTTCCAGTGATGGGCCGGCGAGCGAGGTCATTATTGACTCTATTCAACGTAATGATATAAATCAAAATTAAAAGCACAATAACACATTTAACATAACACAAAGTTTGCGTTAATGCCCTAATTATTTCCTACCAACTTTACCAATTTTTCATCCAAGCATTTTGAGTTCTATGACGATACCACATTCTAGTTAAAAATTCCCCATTTTACATCCTCGAATGTTTTTAAACAGGCGTTTGAACAACAAGTTCCAGAAAACTTCAAAATGACACAACATTTATATACTTAATCAAAAGTTTGGTCCAGGGTGGACCGGTTTACTAGGAGGACAACAGTTTAGATTTTATTGTGGATCTAGAATCTCTTGGTTTAAAGTATTTCTCCTAGGTAATTCCGTTTGATAATGGCCAAGAGCAGTTAAAAAAAAAAAAAAAAAATAGTACTATTGTTAAGCATTTCCAACATTTTGACCATAAACTGTCCCATGCTATCATCAATTAAACACAATCCTTTCTGATGAATGTTCATCCGATTTTTGTTTGATGGTTTTGTATTTGCTAGTTAGTTCACATTTTCATTAGCATCGTTTTATGCTCTCGCAATTAAGTCTCCTGACTTGCGTTCATTTGGTCGATTTTGGAGGTTGTTAATTTATTCTGATTTGATTAATCAGAAGCTTGGATCTCTGCCCTAATTTCCTAATTAGTTTCGTATCTTAATAACACAGTGACACGTCTAACATTATAAAACTATGCTTAAAATTATAAAAATTATAGGTATCTTTAAGTATGTATAAATGAAAGTGAAAAGTGATAAAATTAACATGCCAAGGTCAGAGAACGTCGTAAATTCACTGTCTTGGCAACGATTCCTACAGATCATTAAGTTCGGTTAATTAGTGAAAACGATTTTTCACCGAGGAATAGTTACTGACATATTTTTATTTCGGAGCTATAAAACAAAGAGAAGGAAAAGAAACAAACGCAGAAGCCATTCAACGAAAAGAACGGCTATAAATCACGCTTTGAATGATATTTGTCAAATCGCATTCCAGGATAATTGTCGGCAATGAATCGACGCCTGTTTTTTTATTATCCACGCCGGAAATGGAAGAAGGAGAAGGACAAGGAAACAGTTAGAACCGGCCGATTCCCACCTTCCAACCTCAGGGAAACAATACACACGGCAAATGGCTCTTCGTGCTCTTTTCGAACTGCACAATGCGACCTGTTACACGCCCAAAAATACAAACTTAGGTTAATTACAGCTGCTCGTCCCAGAGCCTTCCCGAACGAAATTATACGGCCGGGGATTTAACAACCTCCGGACTCCCGGGATGGAAGCACCTGTCGGACCGCAATAATGGACTCGACGGCTGCATTTTTTCGTGATTGAAATTTTAGTCGTCGATCCGATCCGATATAATTATTATGACTCGGCTTCGGATCGGATAATATGCTTAAACACGGCCCGGCTATACGTGAGTCAAAACCCATAACCGTTACGGTGCGAGGCAGCGCTTTTCGACGAAGAAAGTCTGTGACAAAATGGTGGAAATATTAAGTAAAACCTTACTTTCGAGATTTTCTTATTTTGCTGAAAAAAATTAATGCTTGAACAAATTTGGTTGAACGGTATAAGTTTCAACATCGTTTTCCATCCGCAAAACTCTTAACATTTATTAGTAGTCTAACTTGGTCCTTGAAAA